TACTGCCTAGGAAATGACCTGCTTGGTAGCACAGAAGCGGAAAGGGATTTCAGAGTCCTAGTGGACTCTAAGATGAACATGAGTTGTCAGTGTGATGAAGTCATCAAGAAGCTAACTGCACTTTATCATGCAGATTCATGACAGAACCAAGGAGGTGATACTTCCCCTCTGTCGGACGCTGGTCAGACTGCAGTTGGAGTACTGCATGCAGTTTTGGGCACCACACTTTAAGAGGGATGTGGATAACCTGGAGAGGGTCCAGAGAAGGGCCACTCATATGGTTAAGGGCTTGCAGGCCAAGCCCTACTAGGAGAGACTAGGGCACCTGGACCTTTTCAGCCTCCACAAGAGAAGGTTGAGAGGCGACTTTATGGCTGCCTATAAATTCATCATGGGGGTGAAGAAGGGAATTGGTGAAGCTATACTTGCCAAAGCGCCCCTGGGGGGTCACAAGAAATAATGGCCATAAGCTAGCAGAGAGCAGATTTAGACAGGACATTAGGAGGAACTTCTTCACAGTTAGAGTGGCCAAAATCTGGAATGGGCTCCCAAGGGAGGTGGTGCTCTCCCCTACCCTAGGGGTCTTCAAGAGGAGGTTGGCTGGGTATCTGGCTGGGGTCATCTGAACCCAGCACTCTTTCCTGCCTATGCAGGGGGTTGGACTCGATGATCTATTGAGGTCCCTTCTGACGCTAACATCTATGAATCTATGAAAAATGTTTGATTTCTTAGGCATAAGAGTTGCATACAACTTAACAGCTTCTCTGTATAGGAAAATTAAAACGAAGGAATCTAGGATGTGATTTTACCGTGTACTCCAAACTCATATTGAACATTCTTTAGTGCAAATTAGCACTACCTTTGCAAAAGGTAGTTATTTCTCGTGTCTCCCAAAGTGGAGTTGTTTGCAAGGAGAGTTTGCGTAGGGTGGCTAGTACACTGTAAATTCACATCCTAATTTATCACTTAATAATGTTTGCATGTGGACAGGCTCTTAGATGGTTCACCAAAGCTCTATGACATGACACTGCTGACTGACTCCCAGCTGTGGGAAGTACTTTCAGAAGTTATGTAGAAGTTTCAAAGTTCAAATGGTGACTAAGAAGGACATGTGGGGGCATCTAATTAATCCTTGGTTTAACTCTACTCATTCTTAGGAAGACACAGACATGAAACTGAAATGAAGAGTTTGGAAGAAGGTATAATTTATGCCAACTATTATGTTCTTACTCACTAATTCACCTCTAAATTTGTCCTATAATATATATACATATAAACATTTTTATGACTGTAGACTAGATTTTTATTACTATACTCTTGCCACTCTTATGTCCTTATTAGGTCAAATGAAAATGCAAGCATTTCTGAGTCCTGTTGAAGTTATAATGAAACTATTAATCTTGTCACTTGCACATTAAAAGTGCTGCCATTGATGTAAACAGGAAGGGACACCAAATATCTTAATAAACTGTATTTTCTATTTCTTCAGATGGAAAGAACTCTAAAAATTCAAGGCCCCAATCACAAAATATTGCTCAAGTATCATCCCCTAAACCAGGGAAGGGCAAAGTCCAGCCCTTGGGCTGAATCCAGTTGGTGGTAGACTCCATTTCCCAACTACCCATACTCATGGCTGGGGCCAGTCTCCATGGGGACCAGCCCCAGCCACCCTGGCAGGGTGTGCAGCAGGGCAGGGCACAGCAGGGGGCTGCTCTGGAGCCACTGGGATCTTGTGATGGGGACAGCTTACTCCAGAGCTAGGGCAGAGCCATGATCTGTAGCCAGCATGCTCCAGGCAGGGACATACAAGCAGGGCATTGTGGCACTGCCCTTGCTCCAGATGAGGTTGTCACTGATGCAAGGAGGCAGAGCAGAACTGCGATCCCCTGCCTGCGTGCTTCTGGCTGGAGCATATAGGCTACAGATCATGGCACTGCCCTGGCTCTAGAGCAATGTGCCCCCATCGCAAGATCCCAGTGGCTTGGGAGCATCCCCCTGCCCTGCCCTGCTACACGCCCTGCCAATGTGGTTGAGGCTGGTCTCCATGGCAACCCCAGCCTTGAGCTTTCTCCTGCAGCTGTGGCTGGGGTCTCCATGGAGATTGGCCCCAGCCATGCTGGCAGGGGCTGCTGGGAAATGAAGTCCAGCTGCCAGCTGGATTGGCCATTTTGCCCACCTTTGCACTAAACTCTATGCAATTAGGCCATTTGGAAACTCTCTCCTCTTGACTTTTAATGGAATCTTCCTTTCTGTCCTATGGAAAATCTTTTGGTGTGAAAGCAGCAGGTATAATTCTTAATCTCACTCACACTCATGTATCTGAGTTGTACTGAGACAAATTTTCCCTGAAGGGATTTTATATGGAAGGGATTTTTTAAAAAAATCAGATCAGCGCTCCTTTAAATATTTAAGCATTCTGTGAGAGGTTCATAAGGCTGTATATAGCTGAGTCTAGTCTCAGGGTTTGATAGGTGGAACTTGAGGCACACAGGAGAGCCATTAAAATTTGTATGCTGTGTTGCTAATGCTTTTTTACCCTAATCCTGTTTTCACGAAGTGGATTTGTTGTAATTTTGGAAGATAAAGGTTGGAAACTTAATGTATCTTTAATCTGATTAACAGAACCAAAGGAGAAATCTTTCCTAATATATTTTTACTGGACAAATCCCAGGTCACAAAGCATAAACTGTTAGCTGTAACCCACCTAATTTTCCTGTGTTTTCAACAGATGCTAATCTGGAATTTATCCTGGGAAAGTCAAAAGAAAGTTTATTGGAATGGAGGAACGGAGGTCTGAGAGGCTATTAAACAGAAAGATGTAACCACAAGCAAGTCACATAACCAAACAGAGTATTCAAGTCTGCCTTCAATCAGCATGTGTAATTTCCTTTTGAAGTTTGGAGCGTGCATGTATTCAATATATGCATATTTCCCCCCCCCCCCAACTAATCTATGTGCATATTTTTGGATTGGGCAGGATTTGCATTTATATTACAAACTAAATCCTCAGAAGCCTGAATCCATTGCACTGGATTTCTACTTCAGAACATCATGCTTATTGAAA